TATTGTAAACCTAACAGTATGCTTATCAGAAGACTGTTTTATTTCAGGGTAATAACAAAACTGCGCGCTACACCAACCTGGCCCCAGTTCCCAGTTCTTTAAAAAAAAATAAAGCCCTCCACTCACCAGCTTCAGCAGTGGCATGCCTGTTCGGGGGCTCATGACAGAGCCCCCCATGCAGCAGGAGGCAGCGGGGACCCCCCCCACCCTGCCAGTACTGGTGAACTGGGGGCTTTTCTTCATTTTTTTAAGAGCTGGGACCTGGGGCAGGGTGAGGCAGCCATCGCTGGGGCTGGCTGAATCGATTCAGGACAGTGAGTCAAATCACCAAATTGAATCACTGTCCCCCAAATCATCTGAATCTGAAGTGATTTTTTGTTTTGTTTTGATTTGTTCTAAGATGTTGTATTTGTCCAAAATTACAGTTGAAAGGCATTTTAGAAACAGTCTCTGGCACAACGGGCCCTTCCTCCAGTCTGGGCATGTTTCTCTCCCAGTTGCACTCTCTCTGAGCACAGGTGGTGAGTGTTTCTGCCCCTTCTTCTTGGTGCGGGGTGGGAGAATGGATGACAGCTACAAGGAATGGGAAAGGGGATTTCTTTCCACTTCCTAGTTGGTCACTGCAATGTTTTGAGACTTGTTCCCAACTAGTCTCTGTTGGGATTTTTGTGGTGGGCAGGTGTTGGGGATATGGTGGGTCTCTTGTGCTTTTCTCAGTAAAGCTGCAGTGGCAGATGGGGAAAGACGGGGGGTCGAAGGTCCTGGCTGTAGCCAGCAGCTGCCTTTGTGCATCTGGGCTGGTGGCTTTTGCTGCAGCCCTGAGATCAGAGCACAGTGGGTGTGTGTTGGGGCTGTCCTGGATGCTGTCCATGTAATGGAAGAAGTTATTGTCACTGTGCAGTGCTGTGTCTTCTGCGTGTGCAGGCTGCTGGGTGCCGCCTCTGGGAGACTCTCCCCTCTCAGCCCTTCCGCAGATGAGTTGGTCTAATGAGGGCTGACCTCACAGAAGTCACCCAGGATGGGGATATGGGCAGTGCAGGAGGGGCAAGCAGGGCTCTGGGGGTTGGGGCCTGGACTGGGCTCAGCTCCTGCACTTGGTCACTGCTGAGCAGGGAGTCAGTGCGGGGCAGGAGGCTGGGATGGACCCAAGGGAGCAGTGCTCAGCCTACTTCCCCCTTGGGTGCAGCCCCTGCCCTGCTCTGTGCCACCATGTCTCTCCTGGCACAGTAATAATGTGGTGGTGTCTGCAGCTGTCAGGGAGCACCCCTGGGCTGCACTTGATGAGCTGGATTTCAGAAAAGACTTGTGTGGAAAGGGACAAAGAGAAAGAGGATCATTGCCCTTTGTGCCAAGTCACCTGTTTGGCTTCCTGGTCTAAGTGGTGATGTGTTGAGCCTGAGATGAGCTCTTCTTTGAGAGCATGCCCAATTAAGATGAGAAGAAGTTGGAAGAGAGTGCCTAGCACAAAGGTGTGCCATGTGCAGAGCCCTGGCATGCAGGGCGCACTGCCACATAAAGACTTTTGTTGATTGACCTTTAGCACGTGAGTGTGTGATAGCATGCCTGGGTGTGAGTGGTACGTGTGTGGTTTTGGCTGGTGGGTTTGATGGTTTGCTGTTTGGTTTTGTTGATTGATACCTGTGAGAGAGAGAGAGAGACTGATAGAAACATGGTGAATGAACGAGGTGGAAGTGGCTTTCTGGTGTATTGGTGCGTTGGTGTGGGTGATCGTTATGCGGTGTTGTGCCTTGGGCTGTGCCGTGACCATGGAGGTTGGATGAAGCAAGCACAGCCTTGACAGCGAGGCTGCCATAGAGCTAGCATTCATCCCCAGTGACCTTGAATCCTGAGACTCCCAGTAAGATTGCTTAGGGTGGGCTCCCCAGTTTCTCTCTGCAGGGGTGCATAGCACTTAAGTAGCAGCCCTCTGCCCTCTGGGGTAAGTTCCACGCACCCATCACTTGTTCCTTTCTCCTCCCAACTCATCCCTTTCAGTGTGGTATGTGTTCCCTGTGTTGGAACGGCACAGATCCAGAGTTGAATAAAGTTTACTGCTCACATAAAAAAGCCCATATTCACCCCTGAGTTGATATTGATTCTGAGGTGCTAGTGATTGTGGTGGACACATTTTAAAATAGGTATGAGATCAGTTAGGTATAGGTTTTAGGAAAAATAAAAATAGTTGTATTGGGTGT